TTGGGAGTGCGGCGGCGCTCCCGCCGAGGGTTCGGATCCCACATACAGACCGGTTCCCACTCACTGGCTGAGCGAGGTGCGGGCGCAGTGCCGAGGGTTGCAATCCCATTGCCGGTCCCGGTCCGGTACGGGTGCGACACTGAGGGTTGCGATCCATTGCTGGACACGAAAAAAGACAAAAAAGAAAAAAAAAAAAAGAGTGGGAAATCCTATTGTGGTAATTGAAAGGTGGGGCCTTGAAGAGGTGATTAATTAGATTGTAAGACCATGCCATAGTGAATGGATTAGAAATGGTGGTCAGGGGCATGATTCTGAGGGCTTTAAAAGGAGAGTGAATGAGGAAGTTGGTCTCTCATTCTCTCTGCTCTGCCATTTTCTACCATGTGAGACCCCCTGCCTTGCTGTAAAGCCACCACCAAAAGAAGACCCTCACCATAAGTGTTCCCTGGACTTTGGACTTCCCAGCCTCCGAAACTTAAGCAATAAATTTTGTTTTCTTTATAAATTACCCAGTCCTGTGTATTTTGTTATAAGCAACAGAAATGGTCTAATATAGAAGACTTACTAGCTAGCTGGTTGGCTCAGTTGGTTAGAGTGTGGTGTTATAACACCAAGGTCAAGGGTCAAGGGTTGGGATTCCTGTACCAGCCAGCCAGCCACACACACACACACACACACACACACACACACACACACGCACACACACACACACGGTGGCATTTGGCAGAGTGGTCAGAGATTGAGCTGATTTGAGGCTGATTTTCAGTCTTTTTGAGGTCTTGTTTATGCACCTGCTTTAATCAGTTCTCACCCCAACCAGGCTTGCTATCCTGATACTAATTATCAGATACTGGCATTGGTAGCTTACATTCCTGCAGTAATGCAGCAAGTAATAGGTAAGGAATAGGTGTGGAGATGGGTTGGAAGTGGCAGCAATGGAACTTACAAAGCTTTTCTCAGTCTGTCTCTATGCACTCGTCCTGCAGCCCTTCATGTCAGACTGCAGCCTCCCACCTCCCATATATGTCTCAAGACACACACCTTATGTCTCCCTAGGACTTTCACACTTGGTTGTTGTTGTTGTTTAGTTTCTGCATTTAATGTTTCCCTCACATCTATAGATTCTGCAGGGCTGATTTTTGGGAATGGATCCAGCAACCCATGCTATTCACCCTCATCAGGAATCAGAATCCCCTTCCTATATCTTGCATTCATTCCAAGATATCTTGTGGCCTTGTCAAACTTAGAAATGTGTACGCAACAGTCTTTGTCCAAGAATGGAGGTTATTGGTGAATACTGGTTTACTTTTGCCTGTTCCAATTTATAGATGATGAAGTATCATAAATAAGACTAGAAAGGAAACGTATTTGACACTATCTATTTTAACAACCAGTATATAAGTGATAATCCCATTGCTTACTAAATGCCACGTCTTTTCTGTTTTTTATTTCTATTCAGTTATTTATTTTAGTTAAAACTATTATTTAATTTTAGCATTCAGCTTAACTAGAGAGAAGTAGAAAATTTATTATCATGTAATATATTTCCATACTTTACATTTCAGAACTACCTTACTTTTAATCCAACAAATAATAAAGAATTGGTGAGCAATAGTAGAATACAAACAATATATTATTTGTGGGTAAGTAGAAATATTTTTATTTGTTTTATTTATTTATTTTTTCCTTTTTGTCTTTTTTCGTGTCCGGCAACGGATCGCAACCCTCAGTGTCGCGCCCGTACCGGACAGGGACCAGCAACGGGATCGCAACCCTCGGTGTTGCTCCCACAACTCGCTCAGGCAGTGAGCGGCCGGTCTGTATGTGGGATCCAAACCCTCGGCGGGAGCGCCACCGCGCTCCCAAGCGGCGCACTGTAGCAGTGCGCCACCGGGCCAGCCCATATTTGTTTTAAATATGGGTACAAGTATATGTTCATTCTTTGAGTACAGATGTTTTGTTAATATAACAATATAGTATCTACTTAGGAAGCAATAAATACATATTAAGTTTTTGATTTAATTATAGTATTTATTTTAGTACCATTGGAAATTAGCATATTAAATCAGAAGCAAATAATTAAATTTCATTTAATATTTTTAAAAGTAATGAGGCAAATATTTAATAGGTCTAAAGTATAGGGTTTTTTTTGAGGCCTTGGACTTTATTCCCTTTTAGAAAGGAATTAGTGAACAGATCAGTGAGAGATATACCAACACAGGGCAAAATCATGAGATTAAGAAAACATTGAAAGTGAAACAGAATTTACCACATGACTCAGCAATTCCTAGGTATGTACCTGAAAGAACTGAAAGCAGGCACTTAAAAAAATACTTCTGTAAAAATGTTCACAGGCTGGCTGTTTAGCAGTTGGGTAGAGTGCAGCCGTATAACCCCAAGGTCATGGACTCGGATCCCTAGACAAGCCAGTTGGAAACAAAACAAAACGAAACAGAACAAAACAAATGTACATAGCAGCAGCACTATTTGCAATAACTAAAAGGTAGAAACAAACCAAATGTCCATCAGTTGAAGAATATGTAAAGAAAATGTGATATATGGACACAATGGAATATTATTGTGTGTAGTACTGACACATGCTACAACATGATGAGCCTTGAAAACATGATGCTAAATGAAGGAAGCCAGACACAGAAAGTCAGGTATTGTATGATTCCATTTACATGGAATGTCCAGAATGTTCAGGCAAACCCATAAGGACAGAGTAGATTGGTAGTTGCCAGGGGCTGAGGGTCGGCAGGAATGGGGAGCGATTGCTAATAGGTATGGGGTTTCTTTTGGGGGTGATGAAAATGTCTTGGAACTAGATAGAGGTGGTGGTTGCACAGCATTGTGAATGTACTAAATGCCACTGAATTGTGCACTTTAAAGTAGTAAATGGTTAATTTTATGTTAAGTGAATTTTACCTCAGTATAAAAGTGCAAAGCAAAAACAAAAGCATATTGGATTGCTGATTGTCAGTGATATTCATTACTTCAGGTATTTATCATAAAGTTTTAAAGTCTTAATGTAGAATTCCAATTCGCATTAACTATCATTTAAAATCACAATAATTTGTGGCATTTTTTAATGTATTGCTTTTCTTTCAGTGTTTTTAGATATTCTCTGAGGCAACAGGTTCTCTTACTGGTAGCTATTGCAAGTCTCTGACCTTGTTTGGGTGTATCTGTTTTGGTTTTATCATGTAATTTGTCTTTTGGCAACCAGGTCTTTTTTTAGTAGTGATTATTTTTACTGTACTTACCAGAATGAAGAGAGAGGAATACTTGCTCACAGTGCCCCGCTTTTAACAGAAAAAGTGAGTATGCCTGTTGTATTTTTATACACCCGATTTTGTGGAGAATAGATATATATGTGCAAGCTTAGTTGCTTTGGGCTGCTCTTTGTATCTCTTGATATTAAACCATTGGGAAATAATTTGAAAACTTTACTTGGGTCCGTTATTCATATTGAATTGTCAGTTGAAAATAATGGAGGTATTGTTAAAAATAAAATGTTATGGAGAAAAAAGTTAATTACCATGAGAAAATATCCAAAAAAGTGATGGCTTTTATAATGTATATGTGCATATTGACAAAGAATGCAAGTTAATTTGAAATGATGTAAGTAGAATAGTTAAACATGACTGGATAAAATATAAAGCTGCTCAGTTTCAAAATAATAAAAAATGATATTGGATATTTGGTATTAGGCGTGACGAACCAGATATTTAAAAAATGTTTTATCTTGGGCCGAGCCCATGGCGCACTCGGGAGAGTGCGGTGCTGGGAGCACAGCAGCGCTCCCGCCGCGGGTTTGGATCCTATATAGGGATGACCGGTGCGCTCACAGCGCTCACTGGCTGAGCGCGGTGCAGCTGGTCTCAAAAAGGACAAAAAAAAAAAAAGTTTTATCTTACCTGCTTACCTCAAGCTACTGCATCTGAGGTGGAACTCGAGTTCTGTCTCCAGTAGCATTTTCTGCATTTGATACCCATGTAATCTCCCTCACTGAACACCTTATTATGATTTTTCTCCTTCCTTTCTTCTCTCATGGTATGAGTTGTAGAAACTTATTTTTATTTATTTATTTTTTGCTGTTCATTTCTTTTTATTTATTTTTATTTTACTTCTCAATATACATTGTAGTTCATTTTCATGCCCCTTTACCAGTTCCTCTCCACCCCCTCACCTCCCCCTCTGTAGAAACTTATTTTTTAAAGAGGGCATGCCAAAAGGAAAAATAAAGATGAGATGGATAGACACAAGGAAAAACTATTCTATCTGCAAACTTCGTGTTTCATAAATGAAAGTATCAAAAAAATACAGTGAGTTCTCTTTATTCATGGTAGTTATGTTCTATAAAGTCTCTGCGGGGCCGAGCCCGTGGCGCACTCGGGAGGGTGCGGCGCTGGGAAGCACGGCAGCGCTCCCGCCGTGAAAAAATACAGTGAGTTCTCTTTATTCATGGTAGTTATGTTCTATAAAGTCTCTGCGGGGCCAAGCCCGTGGCGCACTTGGGAGGGTGCGGCGCTGGGAAGCACGGCAGCGCTCCCGCCGTGGGTTCGGATCCTATATAGGGATGATCGGTGCGCTCACAGCGCTCACTGGCTGAGCGCGGTGCGGCCGGTCTCAAAAAGGACAACAACAACAACAACAACAACAAAATAGTCTCTGCAAACACTAAATTAACGAGTACTGAACCGTTCCTTCTAGGAGAAATAGGGGATTGGGTTCTTTTGAAACTCCAGTCACATTTTCATCAACTGATCAATACATAACCTTTTTTTATGTATGTTTCTCCTTAAAAACAGACTTTTGTTGTTGTTGGCAGCAAACAAGTAGGTAAATTCACACATGCAGAATCCATTATTAATGAACATGAATTGTAGTTTGATATGATAAAAATGCCTTGTATTGAAACAGTGCTGGTCTTAGGAAGAACTTGATGCTCTTGCTTCACTAATTATTATTTTACTGATTCTTTTGTGTTCAAGTCAAAAGAACCAAACCCTAGGATCTTCTCTGCATAATTAGAGAATGGGGCAGCAGATTTACTGTATGAGTACCCTGTGACTGATTGCTGAGTTTCATTCATTCATTCCATAAACATTCACTGAGGGGCTTTATCACTGCTCTGGGTTCTTTCTATACTTTATTTCTAAGATACTGTCTAAGGAAGATGGCATAGTGCCTTATTTTACATAGCACAAATTTAATAAGGAGTTTCATTCAGAGCATTTCATGTCCAATGCTTAAATAATTTCTACTGATGGGAAAATACTTTATGATCAAAGGAGACTGGAAGAATTATTTTATGGTATTTACAACTGGAGCATGCTTTTGCTCATGACAGACATCAGTTTCTTTATCACTCTCTGAAACCTCCAGAAGAGAGTTGAACAGGTATAAATGTGATTAACTACTCTTTCATTTGCTTTAAACAAACAGCTTAATTGAACACGGTACATAACCCTTCACTTGCTCTTAGCAAACCGTCAGAGGTTCAGAACTACCTGGACCCTGGCAATCCATGGGAGGCGGTTTTTAGTGATTATTTTTTCCATTCTCTTTTTCCCACTATATTTCAGCCTAATATTATAAAATGTCGTGTTGATAAATGCTTTGTTTTGTATTTATTACCAACGATAACTCAAAACCTGTCTTTTGAAACACAGACCTTCAACAAGCTCGTGGGAAAATTTAGCCAGTCTGTCTTCCATTTGAATTTAACACAAATCCTCTCAGCAACAATGGAAGGGAAGCTGGTTGTCTGGGACATACACCGCCCACCATTGTCTTCTGCCACCTTTTTGGGCTTTCCCTATATCAAGCCTTGTAAATTGGTTCATTTGCAGAAAGAGGGTATCACCGTGCTTACTACAGTTGATAGGTAATTAACCTAATTCAAAAGTAGCTATGGATGATTATAAAAATTGTTTAGGATGTATACACATATTTTGTATGTACATAGAATATTTCTCAGAAGAATCACAACTAACTGGGAACATTGGTTGCTTCTGAGAAAGAACTGAGAACAAGGTTGGGGATGGATTTACTTCCTTTTATAGTCCTCTTTGTATTAATTGAAGTTTTTTTTAATCATGAGCATGCATTATGTTAAAAAATCCCTTTGTGATAGTGAAACAAAAAGTAACTGATTTTTTTTTCTTCTGTGCTAATTAGACTTATTTTGTACCCAAAATTTTACATACTTTAAATAATTTAAGAAAATAACTCAAATAACTATATTGTTTGTCTGATTACAAAATAACATTTACCCACTATGAAAAGATCAAGTACACCAGAACTTCATAAAATTCACTAATTCTTTGATTTTGAGAGGCTGTGAGGACTCACAGATGATAATTGAAAGCCTCAGAACAGGGTTCACATTCCAGCTGTATCCCTTTCTTGCTGCATGACCTTGAACAGGAGACTTAACCTTGCTGAACCTCCATTGTCCCTTCTGTAAAATGGGCATAACAATACTGTTTCTCTCAGAGCAATCTTTGGATTTTCTGAGACAAGACATGTGACACTCTTAGCATGCAGCCTGGCATAGGGGAGCCTGAGGTAAATGGCAGCCATCATTAGAGTGTGAGCAGAGTTCTCAAAAGTGTAGAGAAAATTGCCTAATGATGAGGATGCTGCCCAATATGGTTGGAGTCACTGTGCCATCTACTTTCAAAAAGCCCATTTGCTTTCATTTGCATTTTTTTTTCCTTTTTTTTTTTTTTTT